TGTTCTTGTGGTAGGGCTAGAGAAGTACTTTTCTCCTGAGGCCCTCTCCCTCAACGCTCCACTGTTTCATACTGAACTTTAATGAATGTGCCTGGTTAGCTCTTCTTTAGCCCACCAAAGCATTGGACTTCACACACTGGTTTTTGCTTTTACTAAGTTTCTTTGCCATTTCCTCGCTAAGTCACTTCTCACTGGGGCTAACAAAACAAATCAAATGTGGAACTCCTAAGTCAAATCAGAGCATTACTTTTCCTCTCAGTAGTCAAAATTAAAAAATGATGCATCCAGTCAGTCTAAAAAGAGATTTAAAATATTTCTGTATCAAAAAGCAAGTATGCTGTAGTAAGTATAGTTCACAACAGCTAAGGGTTTAAACAATTTTAAACACTATGGTACAACTACTGTAATAGGACAGGGGACAAGAAGTAGACAGTGTTCAACAAAACATTTTTAGGTGATTTAATTTTTTTACTTAAGTAGATGGTAACCAAGGTCGCTTTTTGACAGCAGTTGTTTTTGGGATTTAGTAAACAGAACTATATTGTTGTTGCAGTGTATTCTGATCTAGGCCTCTTTTCCAGGGAGCTGATTTTTTTTTTATTTCCCTTTACATTCACAAAGTACCATGTTCCAAAACCAGTCCTATTAAAGTCAGTGGTCCTGATTTTCATTTATATTAAGATGTCCTCTATATTTCTTTGTGGTTGTATAGAGGCATTAAGAAGGCCTGAACTCCGGCTAGGTAATGTCACACTACCTCGTTCGCTACAATATGTTGTCAAACCAAAGGGAGTTAGAAGAAACCAGCACCCAAAATGGAGTTACAGTCCAGTGTTTGTACAGATTTTTTTCAGCAATTAGTAGAGACTACTTATTTTCATGGCGTGTAGTTTGATGAGCATTAATTAAGAATGAAGAGTGTATTCTCATCATGGAAGTACTGAGGAAGGTACATATTTGAATATTAACTCGGTGTTAGGCAAGTATCACTTGTAAATCACACTCTTGTAGTGTGTCAGTCCACATAACTCATACGATGAGTGAGCTGAAAGGCTGGATGTCTTTCAGAAAGATGCATGGGCAGGCTTTTTGTTGTGGGGGCGACGTTCAAGCATCATTAACAAATCCAGTGACAGAATGTCTGCAGAACTCATAAATCTCTAGAGAATTTTTGGTTTTAGCCTGGAGCAATGTTTGCATGTATGTTGATGAGCTTAAAATCAAAGCCCCTTGCCTGGCCTACGGGAAAGGAAATGCATCATGAGAATAGGATACCTTCCAACACTAAGGATTCCTTATAATTTTCCACTGAACACCTCCAGGTTAATACTGTAGCAACAAGACTCTCACAGTGGAATGTGTTGAATGGTCCTTTCTTGATTAATGCTGTACTTCTTCAGGAAGGATATAAAGGTCAAGGTTAGGAGGACTACAGTGATTTACTAGCAGAAATCTGTTAGGTATTTTGAAGGGTGTTATTCGAATGTCTGCTTGATTTCCAAACAAATGACTGAACTTGGATTGGGTGGTTTTGATTCCAAGGCTACTGGAAAGGAGAGAGCACCAGATTTGTTACTATTAGTAAAAAATGAATAAATAAACTTCTCAAGGGCCTTTCTAGTCTAGACTGCAAGTGTCAGGCCCTTCTGACTTCCACAGTTGGTAAGGTCTTAACGACACCTGCTATCTACTACTGCCTCTGCGAAGTGTGCCTCCGAGTGCTGCCACGCTATCAAAACAATCAGCATCTGGCTGAGTTTGTTTCTAGTGATGTCTAAGGAAAATTGATTTCCATTCATTATAAAACAATTTACAATTTACCCCTTAGTTGGGGGCTGTTTTCATCAACTCGAAAGTAAGGCAATAATGATGGAAGATTAACAGATTATTTCTAATTTATTCACGTTTAGTTTTCTAAAGAAGCAAGTATGAGAACTTAGAAAATTATTAGGTTATTTTCAAGATGTTTGAAACGCTTTTTAAGAAGCCTCTGGACTTAGTGATCTGCCCATATGATAAGATATTATTGAGAAAGTCAGCTTCTATATATTCTTAGTGTAGTCAGTCTAGACTATTTAGTTGTCTAAAATGTGTAAAACACTCATCTGATCTTCCTCTGTTGTACTTTTTCAAAACATTTACATGCTTCTTGTATCTGTTTGGCTTAATATTTCAGGTGAAAACTAAGAAAATTTTAGCACGTTTGTCTTTCCTTTTTAACTCTGAAACAAACAGAAGAAGATGTGTCATATTTAAAATTATTTCAGTTTAAGCAGTAATTTTTTTTCACTGAATATTTGAGAACCTTTGGCAAGATTCTCCACTATAGATACAAGAGCGATGGCCCATATGCTGCCTACTGCAACTTTACATGTTGGAGACTCTCCATATGGAAAAAACTAGTTGGAGGTACTCATATAATGCCTTTTGTCTGGATCCTTGGATAGACCCCTGTGAGTTCACATGTAACAGGATGAAACAGAAGGGAGATTGTATAGGGCAGACTGAAGCAGTCAGATCTAGGAGATGAGTCACAAAGAGTAACATTATTCCTTAAGAAAATTCAAGATTAACATCTTTCTGACATTGCTTTCCTGCAGATCTCCCCCACAGAAAGCCAAAGTCATGGCCAAAGAAGAGACCATAGGCAACTTAGCTGACACCTCGAAGTTCAGTCGCTGCTGATGGACAAAGCTCTTACTGGCTTCCCTCAAATATGCCAGACTTAGAGATGGGCCCCATGGTCTTTCTGTAGCATGTCCAGCAAAATTTCATTAAGTTATCTTAATGGAAGTGTGTTGAAATATTCCTCTTCAGGTAGTTCTGTGTGAAAAAACGGACTAGGAGTTATAATCTCTATTGCTAGATGCAAACTCTTAATAAATGTGTGTATTGTTCTTACAAACTTCACTGGCTATAGAAGAGTCATGAACAAGATGTGTGAGTTTTTTCACCATTATTATTTCTGGGAGTCAAACACAGAACAGGCAGAGAAATTTTACTGATATGTAGTGACTGTTTGATTTGAAAATAATTTTGGTTAAATTTTGGTCTATTATCTCAATCTTTTGTGCTTTATCATCTTGAAGAAGTGGCTGGAGAACAATTTAAAAATGGACAGATATATGGCATTTGTGAATAATCTTTCCCTCATAAAAGGGATTGAATTAGACTATAATGTCTGTTCAAATAAAAAACTAGGATATCTTTAGGTCCTCTGGGCTGATATGCCTAGGAGCAACATCATGTCACCTCTCTCCCTGCTAACTCCTTTATCATCATCTATCCTCCTAGGCTTAAAAGAAGCACCTTTAAGATCACAGAATTTAAGTATAAATGGTTTCTGATCTCATTGTTCTGATATTTTCACCATCAGAGAACTAAACTTGAAACAACTAGGTCATTAATGCAATGTTTTTTAACTGTACCACCATGTAGATCACTTAAAAAAAAAAAGTATATGTCTTTCTTACATACAGCAGATTTTGAAAAGAATTCTTGAAAGTAGCTTTGAGGAAAAATCATTAAATTTTGTCCATAAAATTTAGGATTCAGTAAGTCAAGCAGTAGCAGTGATTTTCAAACAGTTCTACCTTAACGACCAAGGAAGATCTCTGCCGAGAACTTCATGAATAATCTTTTGGAATTAAAATGCAAAATGGAATGAGATAAAGAGAAGGTCAAAGAGAGCTTGTGTGAGACCTTCTCAGGCAATACTTTTCGTTACTCTCTGCTTGTGTAATCTTTTCTTTGGGTGCAAATGGGTTGTAAAAGTTAGTGATTTAAGAACAGCAGAATCCCATTATGAAATCTTGCCCATAGTATTTTGATATAGTTTGAAAGATTAAGAACAGGTGATTCATGGACTATGTACTGAAAGGTAGATTGGTTACTATATATTTCCCGATACATTCTGTATATGTACTGAAAGGTAGATTGGTTACTATGTATTTCCTGATATGTTCTGTAAGAATTTGTGGATAATGTGCAGGACTCTGTTGGCTCTATGGGAAAGATGAAACTGCATGTTATTTTTACCATTAGTCTTTGACTTGATAATCACTAATGAAAAGAAAAAAAAATGTGGTGTCTTACTAGCTTGTAAAACTTCCCAAATATACACTTCTTCTGCAATGTACAACTTTAGAATTGCTAAATAAGAACCTGGCTTGGACCATTCATAAGCACCATCTGTTAAGGGGCTGTATAAGTTTCGTACAAGAATCCACAGATAGATTGTTTTCATGTTAAATATCGTGGGTAGATTTTTTTTAACGTAATAATGTTTTCCCGCTTTTTAAGATTAAATGTGACTGATTAAAATGTGTGCATTTTCATACACAGAGCCAGACAATACAGTTTTTTAGCAGTGTTTATTTTTGTACAAAAAAAAAAGAAACCAATTATTTTGAAAGGAAATCATCATATCTGTCTTGTGATTGCATACTTTTTAACAAAAATAATACAGTGGAGAATGAAAAAAACAATTTTTATGTTGCTACTTCAAAATGACACCTAAGTCTATGAATGTTCAAAATTAAAATATATATACCAAGAATGCTAAAATGTCTATTTTACATTATCTACAAAATGTATGTTCTAATCCAGCCACAAATCGTAGGAAAATACTTTGATACATGAGAAAAGCTATAAACATAAGAACATTTTGGAGGGAAATAACACACATAAAAGCTCATTAAATAATTGCAACAACAAATAAATAGTTTGTTCAGCTTTACTTTTTGATTGCTGCCATGCATATTTCAATTTTTGGTATACTGAGATAAGAGAAAGGTCAGCATGCAAGGCATTTTTTTTAGAATGAATCTGAAAGCAGATATTAGGTGGTGTATTTTTAAGCTGTTGTCAGAAGTTCCTAAAACGTGATATAGAACACAATAGACATGATAACTCTTCTCATGAAAACACACAACAAAGCATCTTTTTACAAAACAGACTTCAGTGAATGTTGATGGCAAATTTTCTTTGCCTCCTTGGCTGGGTTTGGAAGGCTTGTGTTATTCCCCATCTTGAGCATTTGGAAAATCACCCAAAAGGTCCGTATGCTGAGCATGCCCCTTTTGATTTTGGCCAAAGCAATAAGCATGTAGTGTCAGGTGAGAACACAGCAATGGCAGACTTGTCTTTAGCAGTCAGAACGGTAAAGAAGTGATTACAGGCGAGTTCAAATTTGGCAGGAGAAGAGGGAGACGAGAGAGGAGAGGATGTCTGACTTCTAACTTGTACTATGTTTGCTGGATTTACTGGCTCTTTTCCTCTCTTTGTGGTGCTGGATAGGTTTTGCTTGAGAGGTTCCCTCAAAGTTGTGGCTGGACTCATTGTGCTGCCTCGTGTATCGCTTGCACTTGCAGGCCGTGACCACAGTTATTTTGTAGGTTCTTATACTTCCATCCTGGCACTGAAGCTGGATCCTCTGGGTGCGAGTTTTGTCATTAACACACCTCCACTCTTGCGAGCTCCGCCTGCTCCAGTACTTGGTTCCATAACCTCCTCCAATCCAGTTGGGGAGCAGTGGCAAAGGGAGGCATTCACCAGCACACACCAGCTCCTTCAGTGGATTGATGCTGGTGCACTGGCCATCTGAAATGTACTTGGTGGATCTCAGTTCCCGACAGCCAACTTGAACACGATCTGCAGAATGCACAGAATAATAAACACTGAGATTTGGAATGGAGAGGTTTCCTTAACCAGTCATTTGCACATTAACAAGCTATGTTTTGCAGAAGTCAAAGCAGGCTGTAATCTTTACAGGACATCTCTTTACTGTTGTGTCCCCCAACACAAGGGCCTCAAGTGCTGATGGTATCTCTGGGTATTACCACAGTGTAAAGAAATCCTAATGATACGCACTCAGCAATTGTGGTAGAAGAGGCAATTTTATTCTCTATCCTTCTCAGGGACATACCTTTTAGAAGAGAAAAAATGCCCCAAGGGAAGAAATGTTTCCTGCTTGTTCTCAGTCTAGGGAATCTGCTCTGTGATGTTTACAGCGATTACGTTGGATCATTAGCAAGGGGAAAAGAGTGCTTTGGAAACTGCTTATATGCTTTTGAATGAATTTCAAACAGCGTGTCTCTTCTCATTCCACGGTTACAGTGGACTGAATCTCCCATGAGCACTGCTGCTCTGAACACAGACACCGCAGAAGGGATAAGAGCCGAAGTTACCAAGGAATGGCGTTCTGCATGCAAAGTTTGCATGATTAGCAGACACCATTTCAGAGCGGTCGTTTTGCCCTCAGGGTAACACCATCTTTGTATCTGTAGTAGTCTTTATATTCTATGGGACATAGAGGATCCTGCAAATTCTCTCAGGCAACTGACAGAATCAACATGCAGAGCTTCTCATACAGGCATGTTTGTACCCGCCTGTATGTGCAGCTCGGCACCCTGCAATAAACACAACTGTTTATTTCAGTAATTACACTTTGAAATAAACGCCCACAGTGCGCTTAATTTTAATAAGCAACCTTTACTGGCTACGCTCTCCCTCTTTCTGAAGGACAATTACGGCGCAGATTCTACACACAATGCAATTAACTAACGCCTTTAAAATAGAAGTAATTACTAGAAACATTTTAGAGTGAATCATAAAAGGCTTTGAAGGTACATCTACATATCGCAGCTACAGGCTCCTTCTGTTTCTGCCTGGATTTTTGGAAGCAAGTTCATAACAGAGAGAGGCACTGAGTTACGATCCCTTCCCCCTGTCCCCTGTGTCTCGGGGCGGGCAGTCGGAGGGACTGATCGAGGGACTGATCCGAGGGACTGCTTACAGTCTCCTGCCTGCCTTGCAGAAAAGATTGAGGCTTGCCTTCCTGCAGCTGCACTCAGGAATGTACCTGGAAGCAGCTGGTCACAGGTTGGAGTTTGTCTTTCCTGGCTCGGCTTTTCTCCAGTGACAGCTCGTTGACGCCGAATGCCTACTGGGCTGCTCCAGTAATCTCGTAATGATGGGATGTTTCCTGTGCACTTACACCCTTAGCATTCACAGAGGCTGACACACCTGGCTTAGCCGAAAGGTATCGCTGTCACTTTTTGCCTTGGCTTTCCAGGGATGACGCTATTTCTATCAAATCGTTGTGGGTGGGTTGGTGTGTGCATGTGTGTGTGTGTGTGTGTGTGTCTCCCTGGATTTCTTCCATTTGACGGAGGTGGGCAGGGGAGGGAGCAGACAGAGTCAGCAGAAGGTTTCCAGATCCCCGTGCATCTGACATGGGTACATAAAGCCCAGCAGGAAGAGACTAGATGTAGGAAGGCAAGTCAGAGCAGAGATCGCAGGTAAATTATGAGCTGATTTGTTTACTTTTGCTGGAGGTGTTAAGCAGGTAAGCGCTACAGCAGGAAGCAGAACTAAACAGCGGCAACAAAATTCAGAGGTTTTTATTGCATTTGAAAAATGACCCAGACACCTCCCCCGCCCGCAGCGGGAGGGTGAGCCCAGGCAGCGAGCGCTTTGCCGGTGCCTCTCGCTCCGCTGCCTTTACC